CTCACTTTCATAAGGATGGTGTCATCTGCATATCTGAGGTTATTGATACTTCTCCTGGCAATCTTGATTCCAGCTTGTGCTTCTTCCAGCCCAGCGTTTCTCATGATGAACTCTGCATCTAAGTTAAATAAGCCGGGTGACAATATACAGCCTTGACATACTCCTTTTCCTATTTGGAACCAGTCTGTTGTTCCATGTCCAGTTCTAACTATTGCTTCCTGACCTGCATATAGGTTTCTCAGGAGGCAGGTCAGGTGGTCTGGTATTCCCATCTCTTTCAGAATTTTCCAGAGTTTGTTGTGGACCACACAAAGGCTTTGGCATAGTCAATAAGGCAGAAGTAGATTTTTCTGGAACTCTCTTGCTTTTTTTGATGATCCAACGGATGTTAGCAATTTGATCTCTGGTTCCTCTGCCTTTTCTAAATCCAGCTTGAACATCTGGAAGTTCCCGATTCACACACTGTTGAAGCCTGGCTTGGAGAATTTTGAGTATTACTTTGCTAGCAAGGGAGATGAGTGCAATTGTGTGGTAGTTTGAGCATTCTCTGCCTTTGCCTTTCTTTGGGATTGGAATGAAAACTGACCTTTTCCAGTCCTATGGCCACTGCTGAGTTTTCCAAATTTGCTGGCATATTGAGTGCAGCACTTTCATAGCATCATCTTTTAGGATTTGAAATAGCTCAACTGGAATTCCATCACCTCCACTGGCTTTGTTTGTAGTAATGCTTCCTAAGACCCACTGGACTTTGAATTCCAGGATGTCTGGCTCTAGATTGGTGATCACACCATCATGATTATCTGGGTCCTGAAGATGTTTTTTGTACAGTTCTTCCGTATATTCTTGCCACCTCTTCTTAATATCTTCTGCTTCTGTCAGGTCCATATCATTTCTGCCCTTTATTGAGCCTATCTTTGCATGAAATGTTCCCTTGGTATCTCTGATTTTCTTGAACAGATCTCTAGTCTTTTGCATTCTATTGTTTTCCTCTATTTCTTTGCATTGATCACTGAGGAAGGCTTTCTTATCTCTCCTTGCTATTCTTTGGAACACTGCATTCAAATGAGTATATCTTTCCTTTTTGCCTTTGCCCTTTGCTTCTCTTCTTTTCTCAGCTATTTGTAAGGCTTCCTCAGACAATCATTTTGCCTTTTTGCATTTCTTTTTCTTTGGGATGGTCTTGATCCCTGCCTCCTGAAAAATGTCACAAACCTCTGTCCATAGTTCTTCAGGCACTCTGTCTATCAGATCTAATCCCTTGAATCTATTTCTCATTTCTATTATATAATCATAAGGGGATTTGATTTAGGTCATACCTGAATGGTCTAGTGGTTTTCCTTACTTTCTTCAATTTAAGTCTGAATTTGGCAATAAGGAGTTCATGATCTGAGCCACAGTCAGCTCCTGGTCTTGTTTTGGCTAACTGTATAGAACTTCTCCATCTTTGGCTGCAAAGAATATAATCAATCTGATTTCGGTGTTGACCATCTGGTGATGTCCATGTGTAGAGTCTTCTTTTGTGTTGTTGGAAGAGGGTGTTTGCTATGACCAGTGCGTTCTCTTGGCAGAACTCTATTAGCCTTTGCCCTGCTTCATTCTGTACTCTAAGGCCAAATTTGCCTGTTACTCCAGGTATTTCTTGACTTCCTACCTTTGCATTCCAGTCCCCTATAATGAAAAGGACATCTTTTTTGGGTGTTAGTTCTAGAAGGTCTTGTAGGTCTTCATAGAATCATTCACCTTCAGTTTCTTCAGCATTACTGGTTGGGGCATAGACTTGGATTACTGTGATAATGAATGGTTTGCCTTGAAAATGAACAGAGATCATTCTGTTGTTTTTGAGATTGCAGCCAAGTACTGCATTTCAGACTCTTTTGTTGACTATGATGGCTACTCCATTTCAAGAGATGGGAATACCAGACCACCTGACCTGCCTCTTGAGAAACCTGTATGCAGGTCAGGAAGCAACAGTTAGAATTGGACATGGAACAACAGACTGGTTCCAAATAGGAAAAGGAGTATGTCAAGGCTGTATATTGTCACCCTGCTTATTTAACTTAGATGCAGAGTTCATCATGAGAAACGCTGGGCTGGAAGAAGCACAAGCTGGAATCAAGATTGCCGGGAGAAATATCAATAACCTCAGATATGCAGATGACACCATCCTTATGAAAGAGAGCGAAGAAGAACTAAAGAGCCTCTTGGTGAAAGTGAAAGAAGACAATGAAAAAGTTGGCTTAAAACTCAATGTTCAGAAAACTAAGACCATGGCATCCGGTCTCATCACTTCAAGGGAAATAGATGGGGCAACAGTGGAAAGAGTGACAGACTTTATTTTTTGGGGGGCTCCAAAATCACTGCTGATGGTGACTGCAGCCATGAAATTAAAAGATGCTTGTTCCTTGAAAGAAAGGCTATAACCAACCTAGACAGCATATTTAAAAGCAGAGACATTACTTTGCCAACAAAGGTCCATCCAGTCAAAGCTATGGTTTTTCCAGTAATCATGTGTGGATGTGAGAGTTGGACTAAAGAAAGCCGAGTGCTGAAGAATTGATGCTTTTGAACTGTGGTGTTGGAGAAGACTCTTGAGAGTCCCTTGGACTGCCAGGAGATCCAACCAGTCCATCCTAAAGGAGATCAGTCCTGGGTGTTCATTGGAAGGACTGATGCTGAAGCTGAAACTCCAATACTTTGGCCACCTGATGGGAAGAACGGACTCACTGGAAAAGACCCTGATGCTGGGAAAGACTGAAAGCAGGAGAAGGGGACGATAGAGGATGAAATGGCTAGATGGCATCACTGACTCAATGGACAAGAGTTCAAGTAAGCTCTGAGAGTTGGTGATGGACAGAGAAGCCTGGTGTGCTGCAGGCCGTGGGGTTGCAAAAAGTCAGACACGACTGAGTGAACTGAACTGAAAGCAACATTAGCAGAACAAACACTAATGAAAAAATAACTTATATGAAATAATCTTTCACTTGGACTGAGATTCTAACTACAGTCTAAGAGTAGAACAAATGAGAGTCTCTAAATCATAACAAATAAACATCCTCCAAAGATAAGCATCAAGTTTGTAATTTTGTACCATGGAAGATACAGCTTTTCTGATTTTAAAAACTCGAAATCGTTCTCCTTATACCACAAAACTTTAGCACAACCAGGGACTGACCTAAAAATCTACTATTAGAGATACCTGAAAGTTTTCCTTCACTTGTGAAAAGTCAGATCTAGCTGGCCATGTCACAGTTGGCGAAAACTTCTGCAGAGATTTAACTAGATAGGACCTTTTCCAATCAGAAACAGAAAAAGAACTTGACACTGCCAAACTCTAACCACCTAGAATGACAAACTTGTGTCTTCTTAAATCCCGTAGGCTTCTCAAGTCATCGGTCATCCTCATGCAAAAGTGGCTACATTATAGTGGAACAATCAGTCCAAAAGCCAAAGAACTCTATGCAGAGTCCAAAGTCTCTGTGAAAAGAACCTCCCCTTCTACCAGTAGATTTTTTTCACTGCCCAACCAGTTCCCACTATCTGAGAGAACTGGGGAGAAAGAGAGTGAGGAACTTATTACTGATTATCATTAAAGCTAATTCAAAAGAGCAGGGGCTAGGAAATAAAAAGAAGCAAATACCTTCTAGGTAATGTTTAGAAAGGCCCTGACATATGTCATCTTTTTCTTGACAGCTCAAAAAGCTTCAGAGAAATAACATTCCTGTGAAATAAGGATAAAATTAGCCTACTACATCTGGAAAAATCAATGGTGGCTCAAGTTTACACTAAGTGTATTAAGACCCAGAACTTTCTTAAAGAATCAATAGGCAACAATGTAAGGCAATTATCCTCCAAATAAAAATAATAATAAAAAAGAAGTAATGGGCAAAGTCATTAGTAAGGCAGCCAGGGTATGCTGGAGTCCCTGAATTAGTCCTACCTAAAGGAGAAGGGATAGGGCAGTTAAGGAATGATGACAGCAGAGAAAAAAACAAACAAGAGGTCACTCTGCTTGGTTTCAAACTAAATAACATTCCAACCGTAACCAAGCCAAAGGAGAACTGCCTTTCCACAGAACACACCAGGGTATGGTTTTGGTATTTCTTTCCCCACAGTTACCCTTGATGCTCATTTTAATCCAAAAACAAAAAGGAAAGCTAGTGACATTCTGTGATACAGTGAGCCTCTAACCAACTCTTAGTAGTGTATCATACTGGTCAAATCTTCCTTCAGCAAAGAGGTCATTTCCTGGGATAAATCAATGGTTAAATTTGGTAAGGGCTGCACGGTGGAGAGGGCCTTGAGGTCAGAGACTTGAGTCTGATTTCCAATCCTGGTACCTATTAGAGGGGTTATCTGAGTCAAAGAAAATCTTATTTTTTTTCCATTTATTTTTATTAGTTGGAGGCTAATTACTTTACATCATTGCAGTGGTTTCTGTCATACATTGAAATGAATTAGCCATGGATTTACATGTATTCCCCATCCCGGTCCCCCCTCCCCAAAGAAAATCTTAATTTCTGAGTCTTAGTTTCCTCATCTGCAAAATGGGACTAATTACAGCTATTCTTTAGGTCTCTGGTAAGGAGGGAGACTATATAAAGTGGTTGACACACCATAAGAGTTATTATTTCCATGAGCTTCTACTAAATGCTGTCATGATACAGGCGAATGCTCTCCTTGTTGCAAATGATAAAATTTCTGAATGCGCTTAGTTTTCAAAATTGTTTTTGTACATCTTTCCTAACCGTGAGGAATACAGAGGCAAGCAACTGAATAAAATAAAATTTCGGGAGCACCTAACGGTTTATAAAATGTTTAAGAGCACCTAAATCTTAAACAGCCACTAAGTAGTAGAGATAAAACAAAAACCCAGGCACCCTAGCAACCTAGGTGGATCTTTCCTCCGCCCACTGATCTCACTTAAGTGCTGCGAGATGTTTCCAGCCGGGGTAATTTCCGGCCAGCCGGGGTAATTTCCGGCCATCTGAGTCCTCACTCACCAACACCACGTGCTGGAGACGCGGCGTTCCGCCTCGATGCCGCACTACGAGGGCGGGTTCTGGCCTTCGAATGTCGAAGGTCACTTAAGAGGCCTCTTGAACAGGGCTCACTCTTATCCGAGTGAAAAGGGGTACCGCTCTCCCCTCTCTCCGAGACTTCCATCGTCCTGACCGCCACCGCGTCCTTGGCCCTCGCAACTGCCCCCGCTTCGGCTTTCCCGCCCTCAGCGCCCGCAGGTACCGCTATCCGCAGCGGGCGGGGCGCGAAGGAATCCGTCCGCCTTTATGGACGGCCCGCCGCCTTGCTTTCATTGGGTAGCCTCATCTTATCCCCGCCCCCAAGTTTTTTTTTTAACTTTCTCAATGATTGGACCTGGGCATTGTCCATCCCAATTCTCGAGCCCCGCCCCCTTCTCACCGGCGGGTAGACGCCCCCTGCCAGGTATTCTGCGCCCGCGCGCGCGCCTCCGCGATGCCCTGTGTCGGGGGAATTGGGTGCACCTGGCCGGGTCCGAGCCTTGTAGAGACCGGCCCCTCCTCCTGGGCCAGCCCCACCCACCGGGCCTCCCCTCTCCACTGCTCTCCATCCCTGAGCTCTCTCCACCTGGTCCGCGATTCTTCCGCCCCTCGCTCCAACCACCTTTCAGACGCCCTGGGCGCTCTGGCCGAGCGGGCGGCGAGCTGGGGGGATGCGCTCCATCAAGGCTCTACAGAATTCGCTGAGCAGGGCCGGCAGTCACTGCCGGCGGGGAGGCTGGGGTCACCTGAGCCAGAACCCTCTCCTTGGCTGGGGTGCCCGGCACCACCTCAGTGAGCTGGCGGCGCAGGGCAGGGAGACGCCGCACAGCCTTCAGACGCAGCACCAGGACCAGTAAGACTCACGGGACAGGGGCAAGGGACAGGCTCGCTCCCACTCCCACTGCGGCTCCCGCTAGCTTCCGAGTCCTATTCCCGTCTCCCTTCTCCTCTCCTCGCTTACTGGCCTGCGATGCCTTTTCCATTAGATTTGGGGCTTTGGGTCCGCCACGCTCGGGCGGTAACGCGCCGTCCGCCCGGGAGGGCTTTTGGGCAGGTCGGCGCTCGGGATGGTGCCTATCCAAGGTGCGTACTTAATTGGGAATGCTGGTGGGCGCGGAGTGTTGCTTGGTGCACGTCTCTGAGTGCCGTGTGAGCACTGCCCATCCTCACCCCCCTTTTTCCCCTGATCCTCATGTGTATTTTCGGGGATGCGTGGGTGTGGAACAGCCTGCCTCGTGTCCTGGTGTACTTGGATCTGTGTGTGGCCTGTCTGTGTTTTGGCATGTAATGTGTGATGCTCAAGTGTTATTGGTACGCAGATACGTGCGTATGTCGTCTGCGTATGTGTTGTGTGCGTAATCAGGACTCCCTAATCTAGAATAAGGGTAGTTCTCCGATTGGTTTTTGAAGGAGGAAAATCTGTAATGGAGGGGAAGATCCTAAGACGCAGATCTCCCAAACCAGAACCAGTAGCATTAAAGGTGCTGCTCAGGCGGCTCCCTGCTTTAAGGTGTTTCCGTCCTGTGGTCTCTTACTCAGCCCTAGAGGCTGAACCTCGCTCCCCAACGACCCAGGAACGTTTGGTGGATGAGCCTCTTGTCTTCCACACGCAGAAACAGACTGAGCAGGAAATTTTATCGTCCCCAGAAGCCAACACAGACACTATGCAGGTAGCCCCTGCTCTTTTATAGCAAGAATACGAAATGAACCAACTTCCCTGTCATTGACATCTATTAATGGCAATCATCAATACATGCACACTATAATTAAAGGAACCAGACAGACCACTCTGTCCTCTACCTCACCACCACTGGATTTCCTGTCCTGGAGTGTCAGTTGAATTCTGCAGGCCAGAATACTGGAGTGGGTAGCCATTCCCATCTCCAGGGGGTCTTCCCAACCCAGGGATCGAACTCAGGTCTCCCACATTGCAGGCAGATTCTTTGCCGTCTGATCCACCCAGGAAGCCCCCTGTCTTGTTGGACAGGTAACATTCAGTAAGCTTTATCTATTTATCCTTGATGGCTCAGTGGTAAAGAATCCACCTGCCAGCGCGGGAGACTCGGGTTCTGTCCCTGGGTGGGGAAGATCCCCTGGAGAAGGAAATGCAACCCACTCCAGTGTTGCTGCCTGGGAAATTCCATGGACGGAGGAGCCTGCCAGGCTACAGTCCATGGAGTTGCAAAAGAGTCAGACAAGAGTTAGCAACTAAACAATTTATTATTGGTAAGAATTGTTACTATGCTATACATCAGCCTCTTTTCAAGGAGACACAGAATGTTTAAACTGTAAAGAATAAACCTTCTGTCTCCCGGTCTACTCTCCATCCAAACTTTTCCCAAATAATCACCTTGAGAGAAATAGTGGTGGGATAGAGAAGAGGTTTAATCTCCCTCACCCTCACATTTTCTGTGGGATGGGGAGCAAGAGACATCCCTGGTTCCTGCACACACACACCTCCTTCCTTATCCTGTGGCTCAGGTAATAGAAGTGGTGTGTGTGTGGAGCTGGAGTATCTGATTTACAGTTGGAAGTGTTCTTAGGAAACTTGATTCTCCTACCTATTGCTGCCTGTATGCCCAGAGACTTCTTGGTAAAGGCCTTGGACTGACCCTCCTTTGGGCAGGAGTTGAGGGCATGGAGGGGGATGGGCTCTGGGAAGGTGGCACCATGAGGGGAACATGTTCTTGGTGGAGAAGAAGGGCAGCCAAGAGGAAAAGCCCTGTAATTCAGGTTATTGTTTTGTTTTTTAATATTTAGCTTTATTTCTGATCATTAAAGAAAAACAAGGTAAATATAGTATCAAGGAAAAAATTAAGGTCCCAATATTAGAGGTAACCATATATCTGTATTCAATATATCCATGATTTATATCCACATATATACTATATGCTATATATGGATGTATAAAAATTTAACAAAAGTAGGATCATAGTATTCCTATTCTTTGATAGCCTATCTTTTGCATTTATAAACAGCTTTTAATATGATTTAATTTGTGCATGCATGATATTGTCCTTTTAATGGCTGCTGTTTTGTCATTGTAAGATTCCGTTGTATTGAGATACCCTAATTTATTTAACCAATCTTCAGTTTGGTTACCACATATTCTTATGCAGTTGTTCAATTATGTCTTAGAGTAAATTCTTAGGAAATTTTGCTTCACAGAGACATCTGTAATTGATATCTTGTACAACCCTCTAGAGATATTCTATGCAAATATCAACAAATATATGTTGGTATCTCTGGTAGGGGAACTAACATCCCGAACGCTGCCTGGCCCAGCCCTGCCTCCAAAAAAACCGAAGAAGGCAAGACAGTAGAGGGGGAGGACTGTTTTCCGTCAGTAAGATGGTATGTTGTGTCATACCAGCACCATAAGCAAAATCTAGGCGTCTGGGGAAGCCTTTAGAGGTAATAACATTTGACACGGGCCTTGTAGGATGAGCAGGATGAGCAGGTGAAGGAGGAAAAGGTCTTTCCATGCAGAAGTTTCAGTATACACAACAAAGGCCAGGAATCCTGACAGTGCCTTAGCCCCTTTGGGAGCCCCATATTCATTACCTGTCCCGTAATATATAGTAATACCATACTGTAGTACCATGGTGTAAATGTAGTATAAACAGTGTTCTTCAGCTTGCTTCTTTTATTTAATATTACTCCTGGCATAACTGGAGTGTGGGGCATGGTAGAAAGTAGGAAAGGAATGTTGGCAGGTTTTAAAGAACCTTTAATGCCATACCAAGAAATAGAACTTACTTTGTAGGTACTAGGGAGCTATCAAAGGTCTGATTAAAGAAATAATATTTGAGTTTTAGAAAGATAACTGTCACACTGTGAACAGCGGGTTGCAAGAGAATGTGTAACGGACAAATAGGGAGCCAGTGAGCATCTACTTTGTGAAAGCTTTTCATGGAATGTCGCTGAAATCACAGCTCACATTACCCATGTGAGACAGATACTAAACCCTTATTTCAGAGATGAGGAAGCAGGTCCAGCTGTGTTCAATAACCTGACTTACTATTCATATTAAGATCACACAGCTGTTATGGGGCAATACTTTCTACTTTCTGTACTTTCTACTACGCTATTCCAGCAGAGGGGGAGAGAAGAAAAGCATGTGGATTTGATAGATTCATCCTGGTTTGGTTATGGGTGTAAGGTATGGGGATCGTCCAAATGATTCCACGTTTCCAGCTTGGCCCGTGGGTAAGTGGTAACACTATGAATCCAAGTGGGAAGCACAACAGGAGGATCAGAGGGAGGGAGACGGGCGAGATGACCTCGGACTTGGACATGCTGAGTGTGCAGTGCTATGGTACATCTAGAAATGCAGTTATTTAGGAGGCAACTAGAAACGTATATCTGAAGTTTAGGAACAAAAGAAAGCTGGGGAACAGGACAGAGGTGAAGGTTAGAATTATAGGGGTAGATCAGATGGTTCAGGGAGGAGTGTAGACCAGGGACACCTCCCTGCTGATCAGCCCTTGTTCGAGCAGGAGCAGCAGGGTGCAGTGCTCAGGTCCCTGTCCGCCTCCCCATCTCTGCCTCCAAACAGTGACTCTTCAGAGAGTGGCATGCTGTCCCGTCTGGGTGACCTGCTCTTCTACACGGTTGCCGAGGGACAGGAACGAATCCCTATCCACAAGTTCACCACTGTAAGTTCCCCTCCACCTGCTCAGGATACTAGTCCCTTAGGATCTCTGGAAACTGGGAAAAGGAAGGTAGGACAGGTACAAGGCAGCTAATGGGTGGCTTCATTATGAGGATGAAAACCAGCTGATGATAGCAGATAGCCTAGGCTGTCCCAGCTAGGGGACAGAAACCAGCTGCCTTGATGAAAAAGGGCGGGAAACCCATGTTAGCCTTCAAAATTGTTATACTCCATCCTTTCTTAGTCTGAAAACCCATTTGTTCCACCTGTTGTAGTAATTGGGGTTGAGTTCATTGTTATCTATTGGGGAAAATGATTAGGATTGGACTGTTGTCCTTGTAGTTGACCTTACCCGGCTTCTTTCCCCGGAAGGCGCTGAAGGCCACCGGACTGCAGACGTCAGATCCCCGGCTCCGGGACTGCATGAGCCTGATGCGCCGCATGGTTCGAGAGTCCAACAGTGGTGGCCTCTTGGACCGAGATCTCTTCCGAAAGTGAGGGCCCAGGAAACAAGGGCACCCCCTCTCAAAACTGTTCTGGGGACACAGACTTTAACTGCCGGGAGGGATCCTAGGGATTCAAGTCAACCCCTCACTTAATGTTATTATTTACTGCTTACACAAGCAACACATGAATATGCCTATACTTATTTAAAAAATTCAAACAACAGAGAAATACATGTTCTCTTTTCCCTCTCTCCCGATCCCAGTCCCTTTTTCCAGAAGTAAACAGATTAGTAGGTATCTTCTAGGTAATGTCCTATGCATATCCATATACACATGTAAACATTTAAGATTTAAAATATAAAACTGACCTACTATACAGATTATTCATGTTTTTTTTTTCCTCCCATCCCAGGACATTATGTCTTGGAATATCTTTACGTATCATTACAGCCCTCATTTTAGAGGCATAAAAACAAGACCCAGAAAGATCCAGTGATAGACCAAAGGGGACACAGCTGTTGGTCCTGAACCCGACGACCACTCACACTCACACTTTTTATTCCCAAGCCCCATGCCTCCACATGAGTCACAGCTGTGTCTCTCCAGCCCTCTAACCCAATCATGTCTGGGATCCAGGTGTGTGAGCAGCAACATTGTGCTACTGACTCAGGCCTTCCGAAAGAAGTTTGTCATTCCTGATTTTGAGGAGTTCACTAACCACGTGGACCGCATCTTTGAGGATGCCAAAGAGCTCACTGGAGGCAAGGTGAGGGCCGGGGCGCTGGGCCGGGTATACCTTGCTTCTGGCGCTGGAAGCCCAACTGACAAGAGATGAGAAGCAGAACCTCTAAAAGTGGGGGACAAGGGCTTTATGTATTTTTACCTGTGATTTCTAGAGCAAGTGAGGAAATCTGATGTTTTTATGGAGACAACTGACATAAGGGTTCAACAGAACTTTGACAGAGACCATAGGGTGGTTGAGCCTAAGAATAGAAAGGAGAGCTAACACAGTATTCTCTTTGTTTTGATACCTTTTATGCACTTTACTGCTGTCTCTATAGGAGTGGGTCTGCAGAAGGGTAAGGCCTAGGACTTAAGGCTTCGGTGTCTCTAGGAACACCAGGAAGGAGGGAACCCTCTTGTCCTGCAGAAGTCGGAATTTTAGCTCTTGTCTAAAGGATTCTCCTGATCTGAACCTCGGCTCTGTCCCCGCTCCACGTCCGTTTCTCCATTCTGTCTTCTCTGCCCGCTCCTACCCAGGTGGCAGCCTACATCCCTCAGCTGGCCAAGTCAAACCCGGGCCTGTGGGGCGTCTCGCTGTGCACCGTGGATGGCCAGCGGTGAGGAGCGGGCGCGGGCGGGCGCGGGCGCCGGCGCAGAGCGGGGCCAGCCCGTCACGGCCCGTCTGCCCCCAGGCACTCCGTGGGCCACACCAAGGTCCCCTTCTGCCTGCAGTCCTGCGTGAAGCCCCTCACCTATGCCATCTCCATCAGCACCCTGGGCACGGACTACGTGCACAGGTTCGTGGGCAAGGAGCCCAGCGGCCTGCGCTACAACACGCTCTCCCTCAACGAGGAAGGTGAGCGCCCCGGGCCCAGGCCAGGCTCCCGCCGCCCCCTCCCGCCCCTTCCTGTCCCGAGGGCTTGTACTGCTCTGCCCTTCCTTTTTCATCTTTGGCTGCAGTAGGTCCTCCCTGCTCTGCAGACTTCCCCTAGTGAGGCGCGTGGGGCTGCTCCAGCTGCGGCGCGCTGTCTTCAGGGCGGTGGCTTCCCTTGCGGACCACCGGCCCTGGGGCACTCCGTCTTCAGCAGCAGCAGCGCTCGGGCTCAGGAATTGCAGCACACGGCCTTAGTTACCTTGTGACATGTGCAGTCTTCCTGGACCGGGGATCCAGCCCGTGCCCCCTGCGTTGGTGGGGGGATTCTGTACCACTGGACCACCAGGGAAGTCCTCTGCCCTTCCTGCCCAGCTCTGTCACGCCGTCCTCCCCAGCAAAGAAACATTTCCCATCTACCCTGCAGAGGGGGCAGGCTGTAAAGGTTTTACTCAGGGGCTGATAAGACTCTGGGTGGTTTGTGTTTCCCCAGGAATCCCCCATAACCCCATGGTCAATGCTGGCGCCATTGTCGTGAGCTCTCTGATCAAGGTCAGTGCTACCTGCTGCTTCTGGAAGGTACTGCTCTCTAGCTCACCTTGTTCTTCTCTCCTTCATATCTGCCTGTCTCTCCCGGGAGACTCTCCCTTGATTCCTTTGAGGGTGCCCAGGAGGCAGTGAAGACACAGCAGGGACTCATAAAATATGCTGAGGACATTAGTAAGAGGAACTGTAGCCCTGCCCCCACCCATGAGTCTGGAGCCCAGAGCTTCCTGGCCCAGAGAGAAGACAGCAGGTCCTGACCCCAGCCTAGGACCACGGGCCAAATGCCAGACACAAGGGGAGGACAGCTCTTTTGGGTACTGATTGGCCACTTCTGGGTGAGGGACACAGGAAAGAAGGGTGAATGGCCAGACCAGGGCAGCTACTCACGTCACCTGGAGCTGTGAGCTGGCCTTGAGCAAGGATGTCAGGCCAGCCTGTCAGCTGTAGGCCTCCCAGGGCTTGAGCAAGCACCCAAGAGCCACGTGGGCAGCAACAATCCAGAGCCAATCACAGCCCCTCCCGAGGAAGGTGGTGTTAGGAGCCCTCCCCCAGGGACCTGGGTGTCAGAGTTCCTGCCGTGTTGACACTATAGTTGACACGGACAGGAAGCAATTGGAGGTTTGGGGCGGGGACCAGGCTCTCCCCTCGCTCTGGGATCACTCTGTCTACAACCCTGTATCTGGGACCTGCCCCATCCCGTTCCCATCTAAACAGGCCCTAGTGACGTGACCCTCAGCTAAAATCTTTCACTTTACTTCAATTATCAATATGGTTTATACAGTTGAGAATTACAGTGTTTGCAGCACACAACCTCCTCCCTTCCCCATCACTCACTCCAGCCTCGGAGATGGCTGTGGGCGTCAGGGATAGGAGAGTAAGGCTCCAGCAGGGGCATAAGCAATGAGGATGGGGCGCAGGAGCAGGGGCGGGGCTTGGGGACTGAACGGGAAGCAGGAACATGGAACTGGCAGTGAGGGATGAGGACTGGCGTTGAGAATGGAGATGGGAGTGGATCTCAGGGACGGGTGAGGCTTACAGATGGGGTGAAAGTATCTGGGCTCATTACTTGATCATAAACTCTAAATGGGTTTTAAAATCACTACATAGACATGGATACAAAAAATCTGTTTAAAAAAAAAAAAAGCCATTGTACAATGCAACACATGCCAAGTAGCAAAATCAGTCTAACAGTTTGTCTCCGCTAGGTCCTTCTGGGCCTCCCTGTCAGCCTCCTAGGCTTAGAACACTGACCGCTCTTTCCATTGCCTTGCAGATGGACTGTAACATAGCAGAAAAGTTTGACTTTGTAAGTTCCCTCGCTGCTGAGCCCCTGGCTGCTCCTCTCCGTGGTGCGGTGTCCACTGCAGCCGCCCCGGTGCCTGGCTCTAACCCCACTTTGATGGTGCACCAGCCTGTACTGGAAGCCTTCTTTCCGGAAGTGCTGGCATCTGGTGTCAGGGAGGCGGCCCTTTGGACTGCCTGCTGGGATGAGGCCTGAGGCGCGCAGAAGCCCGTGTGTGCTTACTAGGGGCCTTCGTGCATGGGGCGCCTCTCATGCGCCCTCTTCTCTTCCAGGTCTTGCAATATCTGAACAAAATGGCTGGGAATGAATACATGGGCTTCAGCAATGCCACGTAAGGCCCTGTCCACAGGACTGGCTAAATGTGTGTGTGGGGGGGGTTCTGAGTGTGTGTACACACCTGCTGGGGGGCGCCGTGGGGGGGTGGGACATGGTGAATCAAGGAGGACAGAGAGAATGCTAGGAGGAAGGGATCCCAGGGGAACTTTGACCTCCCAGCTTCCTGCCTGCCCCATCCTCGACATTTGTTTGCTTTGTAAAAGAATTTGTTCCATTTCTGTTTAGTACTTAATGTGAAAGACAGCGTGAGTCTGCACCTGGGCCCTTTCTTGCCAAGCTTCACGAAGCCAAAAACGCCGTATTCCTAGGCTAGGTGACCACACCATGGGGTTTGGTTGTTTTTCACCATAACGCTGGGCCCAGCGCTGGCTTAGGCGCGGACATTTCCTCCAGAACCGCTGGGAGAATCTGTGAAAGGGCTGACCTAGTTTGACGTGTGCCATCTAGTTTTCTCTCTCAGGGAAGGTATTTTCCCCCTTCTCCTCACACCCATCTTTCAAATGTCCACTACTAAACTGGGTGTCTGCTTCAGATTCCAGTCAGAGAAGGAAACGGGGGATCGGAATTATGCCATCGGGTATTATCTAAAGGAAAAGAAGGTAACCGGGAGAGGCGGGCGAGAAGGCCCCTGGAGACTGCGGCCGGCGGGAGGGCGGGGGGCTGCGGACGGCGGCAGCGTGGGGGACTGCTGATGGCTCCCTCCTCTCCTTCCTCGCAGTGCTTTCCTAAAGGGGTGGACATGATGGCTGCCCTTGATCTCTACTTCCAGGTGAGCAAACGCCGCCATCAGCCCAGGGCCGAGGGAACACGACAGACCGCCTTCCTTCCTGTGACCCACGGGAGGGTCACCAGGGGTGCTGGGGCCCTTCAGAAACACGGGGCCGTGTGTTGAGGGGTCAGGGTGTCGGGAACTCCGCTCCACACGTCCGAGCACAGCGCGCGGGCCCACGCCCAGCCTCACCTGCGCCCCGGCCCCACAGCTGTGCTCCGTGGAGGTGACCTGTGAGTCGGGCAGCGTCATGGCGGCCACTCTGGCCAATGGCGGCATCTGCCCCATCACCGGAGAGAGCGTGCTGAGCGCCGAGGCCGTGCGCAACACCCTCAGCCTCATGCACTCCTGCGGCATGTACGACTTCTCGGGCCAGTTTGCCTTCCACGTGAGTGCCTCTGGCCCTGCATCCACTGTCACGAGCCCAGAGCCACGGGAGGCGCTGAGTCTCTGAAGGTGGAGGGGGGCCTGTGTTCCTGCCTCTCACTAACCTCCAGCCGGGCAATTCAGGCCGGGAGTCCTCAGGGCACTTCGCCAAACACAGCAGGCCCCTCCAACGCGCAAACGCAGGCGCCTACAGTTTCAGCAGCACTCCTCCGCCACCCTTCACGCGGCTGCAGACTCTTCAGGTCTCATACAGGCAGTCACTTCCAGAGAGGCCTTCCTGACCGCCCACTTCTCCCCTGGATACATCCCTCCCTCCCTCCCACTTCATCCTCAGTCACAGCACCCTGCTCTTTTTCCAGTGTTATCCTAATTGTGATTATTTTTGCCTTTGTCTACCTGTTTATTGTCTACCTCCTACCACCAGAATGTCAGTTAACTGACAGGCTTTGTCCTAGCTCTAAGACAGCTTCAGGCACAGAGTAGATAGGTTCCTTACTGAAGCCACAAATTTAAAAGAGGGGAGGGGAGGACAGGCATAAGAAAAGGCACTTAACAAGCCAACAGTTTGAGATGGGCGTGGCCTTGCCCATGCAGTCATTTGGGATTGGCTAACTTAACCCAGAGTTGGGGCATCTCTGGCTCATCCTCAGTTCCAACTTTGTCCCCAAGGTGGGCCTGCCGGCCAAATCAGCTGTGTCAGGAGCCATCCTCCTGGTGGTGCCCAGCGTCATGGGGATGATGTGTCTGTCACCTCCACTGGACAAGCTGGGGAACAGCTATAGGGGGGTCAACTTCTGCCAAGTAAGTTACTTTGCATATAGTACTTCGTATTTTTGAATGAGAAAATAAAGCAATTTCGATCTCCTCCTAAGTGCAGGGAGGGAGTAAGTCTCCTTGCCTTACAATTCTAGAGGTTGGTGTCTCTCTTCAATTTCCACAACTACGATAACCTGAGGCACTGCGCTCGGAAATTAGACCCACGGCGCGAAGGGGGAGAAGTCCGGGTAAGGAAGACCCTGGGGGTGGGGGGGACTCATGAGACTGTTTGAGAGAAGAACGTTAAGTAGCACTTCAGTAAAACCCTAGGCTAAGCTAACCCCTAAGGCTAACCCCTGAGGGAGGCTGACAGGGAAGAGCTGGGCGTGGGTGGGTTCAAAGTCACAGTCATTTCAGGCGGGTCTGATTTGTTTTCCAGAACAAGACTGTGGTCAACCTGTTATTTGCTGCCTCTAGTGGAGATGTCTCAGCTCTTCGAAGGTACTTCTACTCTGACCAAATAAACACAATGAAGTACTCCTAGTCAGAGATCTCATCAGCCGTCCACATAGCCAAATAGTTAAGTGCTTCAGCCTCACAGTCAGACTGAATGGTCAGAGACTGTATTTAAAGGAGGTTTTCTCTTTACAGTGACTGCCATGTGATAAGGACTTAATTAATGGTAGTCACTGTTGTGATTAATCTGGGTGATAAAAGCAGAGTCTGAGGAGGTCGGTAAGGACCTTGCCTCAAATTGACTACCAACGTCAATGGATCAGTCCTGGGCACCTTCTACAGGTAGGCAGTGATGTTCCCGGAACCATCACACGCCCACCTGACAGGAGCTGGCAGTCTCATCAGATAGACAACACAGACTGTGCAGAGTCCGCAGATCTCGTCCTAAGCTCTGTCTTGCTTTTTCTGGAACTCATCCAGTCTGACCCCACTTGAGAAAGGCTACCAGTGACTCCGGGCTGATCTGGGCAACACCAGCTACTTTCTACTCCCGTTTAGGTTTGCCTTGTCGGCCATGGATATGGAGCAGAAAGACTATGACTCCCGCACCGCCCTGCACGTTGCCGCCGCTGAAGGTATCTGAAGGTTAAAAATAAGAGGGGAAGCAGATCCCAAGACCTTTCTTTTGTACCAAGAGTACCCCCTATTACGTGTGCCCTCAAGGTTACAGAGGCAACAACTAGTTTTGTGTGGATGGCCTTCAGCGTGCAGGCTGTTACTGGGTGCTGCAGGGAGCAAAACTGGGAAGAAGCCTTTCCCCCGCCCCTTTCAGTTCAGACTCTGCACTCGTGCTAACACCACAGCATTAGGATCTGTACCCTCTCGTGTTCCTTCTGCCCATGTTCCTAGGACACACTGAAGTTGTTAAATTCCTGATTGAGGCCTGCAAAGTGAATCCTTTTGTCAAGGACAGGTGAGTGGGGTTGAGCTAAAGTTGGGGGGGTACAGAAAATGGGCGGCAACCTCCCCACCTCTGTGCTCCGGCCACCGGTCAGGCGTGTAACTAGGGCGGTCTCGGTTCCTCTCAGGTGGGGCAACACCCCCCTGGACGATGCGGTGCAGTTCAACCACCTGGAGGTGGCGAGACTGCTGCGAGACTACCAGGAGTCTTACACACCGTCTGAGACCTGGGCCGAGGCTGCCGCGGAGGCCCTGTCCAAAGAGAACTTAGAGAGCATGGTGTGAGCCTGGGGCACGCACGGTCCCTGCCCAAGAAGCAGCACGAGCTGGCCACGGACTTAACATACAGCCACCAAACATGCCACGGAGGGCCGCGCGGCTTCAGTGGAGACCAGGGCTGAGGCCAGTGCTTTTTGTGAAAGAGTCGAAATACCCCATTCCCTTGGCAGAAAGTACAGAGAAGTGCCTTTGTGGACCCCTGCAGTGAGCTACCTGCAAAGATTGTGGGCTTCCTCTAGCACAGGCTAATGGCTTAGCCCGCTCCAGATCATCCCAGGTCTTCACACAGGTCCCCTCTTCTCTCCGAAGAAGCCATTCTGAGAGTGTCCAGCGGAGGGGCTCTAGCCACCCTACACGTGTATATATACACAGAGAAAGAGGGAGCTATGTACCGGGCTTTAGTAGTCTGGAGACTTCCCCCTTGGCCAGAAGGGCTGCTGCTACTGCTAATAGCAATTTTATAGACAGAGGAAGTATTTTGTGCTCAAATAAACTTTAATCACACAAATTATTTTTGCCAGACCCAGTCCTTCTCTTTCTCCCCTCGGGCCACCCAGCTGCATCACCATCATAAAGGTATTGTAGAGTAAGATGGAACAGGGTCAGACAGAGCCCAAAAAATACATATTTCACATACATACCCCACTAGGTTTTCCTCAATCCCAAATACTGCTTTAGATTAAGTGTATTCCGCTGCCAAGTGGGGGCAACTGCTTGGGTCTGAACAAACCCCCAAGTGAATTGTGTAAGACCTCAGGCCTCCTTCCTTGCTCTGGAAGTCCAAACTGTGGCTGAAATGAAGATGGACCGCCTGGAGAAAAAAGTTTCTAGCACTAATTCCCTCAACATCCCCCACGTGTCTCTTCCCCTTTGGGCATGATTGTAACTGGCCCAGTGATTGCAGCAGATGACCAGGTTATCAGAGGTTGAGGCAGACGGACTCAGGGTGAGGAGCCCTGCAGCTGTGTGGGGCCGGGTCTCAACACTGAGGCATTAGGGAAGGAGGGCTCTGTTCTCATCCTGACACAGTCAGTAAAGCACTTCCCGAGGGAGCCAGAGCCCAAACTCTGTACGTGCTATACAGAAAGGGCCAAGTCACTCGGCACCACTCTCCAGCCAGAGGTAGAAAGGATTGACTCTGGAAAGACTTAGGTAGAGCCCCCAAAACAAACGAGTTACATGTGGGCAAAGGGAGGGAGAGGCAGCGCAGTGACGAAATTCAAACAAAGTTGAAGGGTAAGACCCCCAGGACTGAATACAGTCTGAGAAAGACGGGGACACAGGGAGGCAGAGAGAGTGAAGGATGCAAGTCAGAGAAGGTACATTCAGAGTAGCCTAGGAAACTGGCAGTGGTCTGGGGAGGGGAGAGCGGGGCCATATGCCTAGCTTTCACAAAGTAGGAGAAAGGGAGATGACAAATATTGCACAGAGGACCCGTCACTGAATTTTGGGAGCCAGCGGTTTCTTCGGGCACAGTTAAAAGGTTTCAGACACTTGGAGCAGGAGGCAGGACAAGAGAGTGATTAGGGACTCCAGTCATAGACTAGTTACTAGAGCCCTTCAGGCACCTCAAGCCCTGAATGGGTCAGCAGCTCTCCATCCCAAAGGGCAAAGGCAGGCACCACTGGACCCCGAAAATCTGTCTGTAGTGTGTGGACCACAGCAATCCGGCTCACATCCACCAGGCTCAGCTTCTGGGCCTCATACTCCAGCAGCAGCCCCACCTTCTCTGGCTGCCCCATGCCCTCAACTGGGGCTTTCTCGTTGGCCAACATGGTGTGCCACCTGCGCTGAGCATAGGTGAACACCCAGGAACGATCGTCAACACCGATGCAGCTATCGCGAGACATGTCCACATCTGCCACTCCTATCCGGAACTGCTGGGAGCGCTTCACTGTCACCTCCCAGTAATGCCTGCCACTGGTGACAGCTGTGTCTGCCAGCACAACTGCCCACTCCCGGAAGCGTTCCACGTTAAGGGCTAATTTTGTGGGCTCCAATCCCACCATGCCGTATTTGACACCTGTGTCACCTTTGAAGAGTAACAGGCTGCTGTGGGCTGTCTTTTCTTCCAATTTGAAACTGATGCCTGCGGGCAGAGCAAAAACACCGGATGGTGACGTGAACTAGAACTCTAGAACGTATACAAGCCGATGTCAAACAGGCAGACAAACCACGAGGAAACACGGAAGAGTCAGAATGTCGAGCGGACAAGAGAGCGGGGGCGCTTTAGTACGGGCAGCCCGAGGAGCCGAAAAACTCGGACTGGAGAAGCCGTGTAATTTAAAGAAACCAGAGTGTCCCGCGTTTGGAACGCAGGTGGAGGACGGGAATGAGTGAAGGGGCTGGGGCTGCTTCTCCCGCGGGCTCCAGGAATATCAGACGGAAACTATTTTGGACGTAAGAGAGAGTAAAAGGATAGAATCCTACCTCTGCGGGCTTCCGCGGCGGCAACCCCCAATCGTCTGGCTCCCCTGCGGCACAGGCACAGCGAGCGTGCAACGGGGAGCGCCATCTTGCGCCGCGGACGAACAGGGCACGCCCCCAGCGGAGACCCCCGCTCCACCTGCCTGCCTGCGCCTCTCGCACGTGGCGCTCGAGAGCGCGCCGCGCAGTGTGATGACGTAGGGGAGCCGCCATCTTAGTGAGTGCTGTTTCTGTTCCCTCGGGGTTGGTTAATCGGGTATTTTGCGGAGAGGAATGCTGTTCTTATTTTAAATAAATAGGACGTTTAGGAAGTGTAGCAAGATGGTTATAAGGCAAGATTAAAGGGACTGGAGAAGCTCATCAAGATTAGGAGACTGGTTGCTAAAACCAGCACACACCCTATTACTGTCAACAACCCCAGTCTTTTGAAACTTTGCAAAGACAGAAGCTTGTGCAACTTACTGACTTGATTCTTATCACATACACTTGCCTAACTATATAACCTCTTCCTACACACTGGAGGGGTAGGGGGAGAGGGGAGTGGGACAGTTCTTGAGGCATTAGCCTACTGCAGTCCCCCTTTGCCTGGCAAAGAAATAAAACCACTCTTCTCCATAACTCCAGCTCCCTACTTCTGTTTGGCATTAGCGCACAGACAGCCAAGATTCTGGCATCACCATCTTCCTCCTATTCCCCCGAAAAAGGGATTTCAGATCTTTCAGCATCTAATTTACCAAAAATTATTCTCTTATTCCAGAGTTCCAACTACCGGGCCTGTGGCGATGTCCCTAGTTAAGGCCACTGTCATCCTTGATCTGAACGGGGACTTTCTTATTTTAAATGTAATGTGGTCGCCTCTAAGTTGGTCTCCCAACTTCCAGCTGGGACTCCCAACTGTCTTCCAGTGTCCACACTACAGTCAGAGTGATTTTTTTTTAAGTTCTGTTTACTTGTTTTTGGCTGTTCTGGGTTTTCACTGCTGTATGGGCTTTTCTTTGGTTGCTGTGAGCAGGGGCTGCTCTGTGGTCCCCGTGCCCCGGGTTCCTCACTGCGGCAGCTTCTCTCGTGGAGCACAGGGGGTTTCAGTTATTGCGGCTCAAGCCTCTAGAGCACAAGGTCAGTCTGTGGTGCTCAGGCTTAGCTGCTCCGTGACATGTGGCCCTTCCCGGATCAGGGACCAAACCCGCGTTTCCTGCACTGGCAGGTGGATTGTTTATAACTGAACCAGCAGGGAAGCCTCAGGATGATATTTTAAAATGACAAATCTGTTCATGCCATGCTACTTTTATCCTTTTTGTTTTTCTCTACTTAAATGTTTGACTATGCCTGCATCAAATTCCCTTGCACTGTGACAAGGTTTTACATGATATGACTGCTGCCTACCATCTTTTTCCCACAAAGCACAGTTCTTCTTTCAAAAGTCTGTGAATCTAGTGGGAAGGTTGATGAGAATATTGGTAGCTGCATTGTCATGGACTATGTGCTGTGACTGAAGTGGTTATAGGATGCTCAGGAAGCAAGGAGAAGCCTCTGGTTGAGTATTACATGAGGGACTGTTGGCAAGAGCCTTCCCAGAAGCCATATCTATGGCTTGCAAAGCAAAGGTGGTTAAGCTAATTTTGCTTTCCTAAACAAGCTTTCTCTTCCTCTATCCCTTGAGTTGGTGAGCTGCAACCCACAATGGTGCCCAGGCCAGAAACCTGGAAGTCCTCGACTTCTTTGTCTCCCTCACTTCATAGTTCAGTTCAGTTCAGTTGCTTAGTCGTCTCTGACTCTTTGCAACCCCATGGACTGCAGCACGCCAGGTTTCTCTGTCCATCACCAACTCCCGGAGCTTGCTCAAACTCATGGCCATCGAGTCGGTGATGACATCCAACCATCTCATCCTCTGTCATCCCCTTCTCCTCCTGCTTTGAATCTTTCCCAGCATCAGGGTCTTTTCCAGTGAATCCATTCTTCACATCAGGTAGCCAGAGTATTGGAGTTTCAGCTTCAACATCAGTCTTTCAAATGAATATTCAGGACTGATTTCCTTTAGGATGGACTGGTTGGATCTCCTTGCAGTCCAAGGGACTCTCAAGAGTCTTCTCCAACACCACAGTTCAAAAGCATCAATTCTTCAGTGCTCAGCTTGCTTTGCAGCCCAATTCTTACATCCATACATGACTATGACCACTGGAAAAACCATAGCCTTGACTAGATGGATCTTTGTTGGCAAAGTAATGTCTCTGCTTTTTAATATGCTGTCTAGGTTGGTTGTAGCTTTTCTTCCAAGGAGCAAGCATCTTTTAATTTCATGACTGCAATCACCATCTGCAGTGACTTTGGAGCCCAAGAAAATAAAGGCTGTCTCTGTTTCCGTTGTTTCCCCATCTATTTGCCATGAAGTGATGGGACCAGATGCCATGATCTTAGTTTTATGAATGTTGAGTTTCAAGCCAGCTTTTTCACTGTCATCAAGAGGCTCTTTAGTTCTTCTTCGCTTTCTGCCATAAAGGTGGTGTCATCTGCATATCTGAGATTGTTGATATTTCTCCCAGAAATCTTGGTTCCAGCTTCTCACATAACCGATTGGTACTAAATCCCTGTCACATTTCTCCCCTGGTCGGCTGCATTGGCTTTGCACCTGGTCTTCCATTCTCCTCAGTGAGGCTGCGGGAACATTTACAGAGACTAGCCCATCCCTTAGGCTGCGAATCCACAGGGGGGCTGTAAGTCCCGTGTTCTCTGTGCTCCTGGGCCTCGGTATCTCCTCAGTACAGAGTAAGCGTTCGCTTTTTGAATAAAGGTGTACATAAGGGAGTTTTGTGCCAACGTTCTTGCAGGCACTAGCTCATTCCTTCCACCAGGGGTCAGCCTTTCCATCCCTATTAGGGTGTGAGAAGACAGGTTTCCATTCTTTTCAAGACCAGAAGCACAGGTGTGGAGGTGACTTTTCCTTCAGCAGAGTCATCCTCTCCCAGGTGGCGCTAGTGGTAAAGAACTCACCTGCCAATGCAGGAAACAGGAGATGCGGGTTTGATCCCTCGGTCAGGAAGATCCCTTGGAAGATGGCATCGCAACCCGCTCCAGTATTCTTACCTGAAGAATCCCATCAAGCTAGGAGCCTGCCCGGCTACCATCTATAGACTCACCAAGAATCGGACAGGACTGAATGGACTTAACACAGCACTCAGCAATGAGGAGAGCTGCAGGGTTGTGTTTCTGTAGGACTTCTGTTCCTCCTGGTCCTGAGAGCTGAAGTGATCACTCCATGTGCCCCAACTGTCAGACCACAACTGTATCACTTTACTCCCTGCTCAGGGAATAGTTCCTTACCTGTTATCTCTTGGATTATTTCACTTTTACAGACTATGTATCTGATAAACTCAACTTCATTCTGTTAATCTATCTGCCTCATTGCTAATGAACAAGTAATTAACTCTTGAACATTTCCATGCATAATAAATAATTAGGAAGAGATAGAATTTTACTTGAGAAAGAAGGAAAAGACATTTAAGCTAGAGGGACCAGCTTAGGATAAAGCAATGGCTTATGAAAGAGCGGGTGTTAGACGAACAACAAGAAGCACGGTACTCCCAGAGTCACATGCTAGGGAGATAAGGAGAGGAGTTAGAAAAGTTGATGCCGAATGATGAGGAGTCATGTGTGCCCTGATAAGAATGTTTTTCAGGCATGCAAGAGCTGTTCAAGGGAACACAGTGTAATAACAAATTACAGGTCCTTGTTCAAACAGAGAGCTGACAGCAACATAGAAAGTGAATTGGAGGGGGTAAGACTAGAAACAGTTAAGCAGAGTCCAGAGCCTCTGAGAGTCTTTGGTGTGGGCTCAGCTGTCCAGAAAGTAGAACTGATGGACCTGTGGTTATTGTTAGATGGGATTGAGAGGCAGGGGAAGGAAACTTGATTCATAGGTTTCTGACTTAATGAGAGGATACAGCCAGGGAAGGGGGGCGAGGAAACCCAAGAGATAGGGGATGCATGTATACATACAGCTGATTCACTTCATTGTATAGCAGAAACTAGCATGACATTATAAAGCAACTATACTCTAATAAAAAATTTTAATGAGGGGATACACAGGGAAAAACATGCTTGGATGGGGAGAGATAATTAATTCAGTTTTGAACAGGCTGAATTTGTGGTCTGTGGGACACCCAAGTAGGTAAAGACATTCTGTAGGTATATGGATATAAATTTCAAGGGAGGGGATGACTTAGATGAAGTCATCCAAGGAGAGGATGTAAACTAAAGTAAGTAGGGAAGAAGCTGAAGGTGCGATCCTAGGGAGTACCAGTATCTGAGATACAAAAGTGCTTAGAACGGGACCTGACCCATAGCAAGCATTGGTCTGCCTGGCTTGGGTTGTATGTGACTCCACAGGAAAGAAAGTAGAGAAGGAGGCAAGGACAGGGTCAGTTCAGTTCAGTCGCTCAGTCATTTCCAACTCTGTGACCCCATGCGACCCCAGCACTCCAGGATTCCCTGTCCATCCCAACTCCCCAAGCTTGCTCAAATTCATGTCCTTTGAGTCGGTGATGCCATCCAACCCTCTCATCCTCTGTCATCCCCATGTCTTCCCGCCTTCAATCTTTCCCAGCATCAGGGTCTTTTCCAATGAGTCAGTTCTTCGAATCAGAAGGCCAAAGTATTGGACTTTCAGCTTCAGCATCAGTCCTTCCAAGGACAGGGTAGACTAGACCATTTACTCTATTTCTTGGATTACCCCGTTTCTAACACACAAGGGCCCTGACCTGATCCAAGTGCTAATTGGAGCCCTTAAATATGAGTGGGAGAGGGATGATGCCCTCAGAGCTTGGTGATTGTTCTGGACTTTGCCAGGAGTCAGCAGCCAGCAAAGCATTACCAGAGAAAGAGAGAGAAGGGGGGCCTCAGGAGCTCGCCAAAGGGGGGGCTGGCTTGTGCTGTGCTGGGGCCTTTGTCCCACTGAAACTGTCCACACAATGGAGCCGGGTCAGCGCTGACCTGGCATTCTAAGTACAGGACTGGGATGGAGAGTCCACGTGGTGGGAGCAGAGACGGATGGTCGCCCAGCCCCTCAGCACCGCATCACTATTTACCCACACTGTAATTGCTAGAGAGGATGGTTCATACTTGATAACCATGAAATTGTGTTTATATCTGATTAATTCATGAATCAGTTCCTTTATACTTCGAGGCAGTCAACTTAACATGGATGTATTGCTCAGGTGTATATCATCCTATCCTCATACAATCCTGTATGATCAACAAAGTGGATTTTTTGGGTTTCTTTTTTTTAAATGTCTTTCTAATTGAAGGATAAATGCTTTACAACATCGCGCTGGTTTCTGCCATGCATTAACGTGCATCAGCCATAGGTATACATACGTACCCTCCTTCTTGAATCTCCCTCCCACCTCCCACCTCATCCCACCCCTCTCTGCCCTTACAGAACACTGACTTGAGCTCCCTGAGTCATACATCAAAATTCCCACCGTCTATCCGTTTTACATATGGTAGTGTGTATATTCCCATGCTACTCCCTCCAGGAGACAGTGAGGGACAGGGAGGCCAGGCGTGCTGCAGTCCACGGGGTCTCGAGAGTCAGATACGACTGAGCAACTGAACAACTCTCTCCATTTGTCAGCAAAGTAGGTTTTTTATGGAACTCAAACTTGGGTTGTTCTTTGGGTCCAGGGGCTACAGGGTGGCTAGGGAGTAGCTTCAGAAAGGTAGGGAGTCGGTCCTAGGCAACCTCAGACGTAGCTGTAGTCATCACACAGGACCCCTGTACAGAAAGGAAGCAAGGCAGATTGCTCGGCCAGAAGCTTCCCTCAACTCTGCAGACTCACTTGCTCCTTAGTCGTGTGGATTTATGCTCCCACAGCACCTCCATGGGACAGAAATGGGGTCTTCTGACATGGGGAGTAAACATAGGCTCAGAGCCCCAGGAACAGAAATAAGTTGAAAGGCTGATGGTTAGTAACCAAAAATAACTGAATCTAAGTGTAGAGATAGAGGAGACTCTAGAATGGATTACTAACTATTACAAGCCATTAAGACTTGAAATAACTTTGCAGCTACCCCAGGTTTGTTATCTTACAAATTCCTTTTCTCCATTTCCATAGTTCCTAGTGGAAAAAACGCCAAAAATGTTTGCAAGAGGCTTCCCTGGTGACTCAGTGGTAAAGAATCCGCCGGCCAACGCAGGAGACAGCCTTGCCTGGTGCGGGAAGACCCCCGTGCCGCCCCGGAGCAACTAAGCCCGCGCGCCGCGCATGCGCCACAGATACTGCGCCTGCGCCCTGGAGTCCCGAGCGGCCGCTGCCGAGCGCACGTGCCGCACCCGCTGGTCCCGGGCGCCCAGGGCCCGCGCGCTGCAGCAGGAGGGGCCGCCGCAAGGAGCCCCGCGCGGCAACGAAGACCCAGTCAGAAGTGGTTATTTTAAAAAATGTTTGTAGGTTTATTAAAGCCAGAAGAGAGAAATGTGGAGAATCCAGGAGTAAACTTCGTTGCCAACCCCCGAAAAGAACTCCCAACACAAGAATGGCGTAGTGGGGAATTCCCCGGCGATCCAATGGTTGGACTCCACGCGTCCAATAACGGGGGGGGGCACGGGTTCAGTCCCTGGTTGGGGAGCTAAGATCCCACATGCCGAGCTGGACATGGCCAAAAATATTGTTTAAACAGAATGAAATAGAATGATAGCAAAAAAGTGAACAAACTAGCCAGAAAAGAAAACCCAGTTGAACACTGTGTGTCCTGGGTGGTCCCAGGAGTGTTGGCCTAGGAATCCCCTGCAGTCCCATGCAACTCCTCAAAGATGCTTTCCTTTGCCGATTCCAGTGACCCAAGTGCTGGCTCACCATTGGGACCTGCTCACTCACTGCCTAACTGTTTATGGTGAGGGATGGACTGTCTTTACCTTGCCTTTCCTAGAATTCTTCTCATTGTCTTCCAGATCTGCACACTAGCTTTCCTCTTTGGCTCTCTGACTCCTGAAACCCAGGTTCATAGCAATGAATAGGAGTGAAACAATGAGTCCCTCCCTTCACTATGAGCACCTCTGGTTGACTGAAGCCAACCAGAAGGCTCAGAGAGCTTATGCTGATTTATTCAGTGAATATTTATTTACTGCATAGTGGGTGTCAAGCACGGGGTTTACAGAGATGAACAAGTTGACAAGTCCCTGCCCTCCTGGAGCTTGTATCTAGTGGAGATAACTTCCCCACCTAGAAAGTGGTAAAGGCAAGACTTTTGTTGCTCCTGCTGTTATTTATGGATTTCAAGTACACAAAATAATCATTTGTTCATGACATCCCCTTCTCCCGATTCCTGTACTTCTCACGGGAACAGCTTGTGGCCTCTATGATGAGGCACCGTGTGGAGATGGTGAAGCCTGACAGTGTGTTCCATTCTGCCTTCTCCACCACCACACAGCGCCCATCACTAGATTCCCAACTTCCTCACTAAGCCTGACCACAACTGAATTTCTTTCTCCAAGCTTTTCTTCCCCATCTTGTCCTTTTCTCTCTCCTTGACCACCCTGATGCCCCAGATACCCACATCCCCAGACCTTTATCTACGGGTCAAGGTTTAAGACTTTAATGTCCTGATCATGGCCAGTTTAGGGGGCATTAGACCCTCCTGCTGCTTCATAGCCAAGACTCAATTTCCTTCCTTCAGTACTTCCTGCTCGGACCTTATGAGTTAGGAAAGATGAAGTACAAGCTGATTCTGAGATTTAATTAATAACCTCCTCTCCCTGGTGGCTCAGATGGTAAAGAATTAGCCTGCAATGTGGGAGACCTGGGTTTGGTCCTTCGGTAGGAAAGATCCCCTGGAGAAGGGAATGGCAACCCATTCCAGTGATCTGGCCTGGAAAATTCCATGGACAGAGGAGCCTGGCCGGGTACAGTCCACGGGGTTGCAAAGAGTTGGACATGACTCTTTGTAAAAGAGTGACCAACACTTTCACACTTTGATTTCCTCTTCCAGCTCCCCAACACCTCTCCCAACCTACCCATGGAGGATAGCTTTTTCCTGCCATCCCTGTTGTTTAAAAGGCCAGGCTGGGACTTTCCTGGTGGCCCAGTGGTTAGGACTCCGTGCTGCCACTGTAGGGGGCATGGGTTCGATCCCTGGTCGGGGAACTAAAACCCCGCAAGCCATGTGATGTAGCAAATAAATAAATAATAAAAGTAAAAGGCCAGGCTGAGGGCTTGGAAAGGGAGGTGTTGGCATGGGTCAGGAGTAGGGAGCCCAGGCTCAGAGAAAGCCAGACGCAGCAGAACTATTCTGTCCCAGGGCTGCAGGATCCACAGATTCCAGCCCAAACCAGCCAATCGGAGAAGGCCCCCTAATCCCAGAGAACTAAAGAATTCTCGTCAGTTATCTAGCTCCCCTGCCGGACTCCACTCCTGACCCCCACCCCCACCCTTACCCCTGGCCAGTTCAGAGGAGCCTAGAGGCCCCCAGGAGCATAGCCTCATGCTCTGTGACATGAACTCAGCTTCACTAACCTTCCCAGCAGAGCTGGGGAACGTTCTAATGTAGATGTCAGTCAGGACTATGAACCCCAGCTTTGACATGAAGAGAAAGGCAGACTCCTCCAGTCCCCCCATTCTCCGTCCTTTCTTCTCGGAGCCTCACACCAGCCCTGACCCCATCCCCACCCTCACGTCCGTGGCTCTGCTCATCTCGCAACTGAGGAGGGAGGGGGAAATGCTGCAGCTTTATCCGATGCACCAGAGCAGGCCGGCCCGCCACAGCCATGAAGGGGTTAAGAGGCTGGGCCGGTCACCTCAGCCTGCCCCTCCCAGGGATTAGAAGTCCTCTATAAAGGGGACTGTCCATGCAGATCGGGCCAGGGGGGTGTCAGGGACCCAGGCGCCGTGCCCATCCCCCCTGCCATGTGGGAGCTGCGGTCAGCCTCCTTCTGGAGGGCCATATTCGCTGAGTTCTTTGCCACCCTCTTCTATGTCTTCTTCGGGCTGGGGGCCTCGCTGCGTTGGGCCCCGGGACCCCTGCACGTCCTGCAGGTGGCTCTGGCCTTCGGCCTGGCCCTGGCGACCCTGGTGCAGGCGGTGGGCCACATCAGTGGCGCCCACGTCAACCCCGCGGTCACTTTCGCCTTCCTGGTGGGCTCCCAGATGTCCCTGCTCCGCGCCATCTGCTACATGGTGGCCCAGCTCCTGGGGGCCGTGGCCGGGGCCGCGGTGCTTTACAGCGTCACCCCGTCGGCCGTCCGAGGAAACCTAGCGCTTACCACGGTAATGGCGGGCTGAGCGGGGCGGGGGACTTGGTGCCTTGACTTCCTCTTGGGCAGGTAAATCAGTTCCTCAGCGGTCTGGGACATTGTGTGTGTGTGTGTGTGTGGTGTGTGTGGATGTTTAGGGTGGGGAGGATCAACACGTACTGTGGGGGGTGTGGAAGCCATCAAGCCCTGGACCTGAGTTCGGGTCCCCGCTTTTCTTCCAGCTCCTAGCAGGTTCTTGAGGAAATTTATTTTACTTTATGGGGCCTCAGTTTCTCCTCCATGTAAATGGGTACATTTATTTCTACTATGCAGGAATATTAGTAGGAGAAATTAAGGAGCAAACACAATTACCGCGAAGGAGGTGCTAATAGCATCCCTCTCCAGGGAACGGATGCCACAAAGGGGATCCTGCCTGGGAAGCCGTGAGGAGGTAAGGCTGTGGCAGCCCTGAGACACCGCCTCTCTTCTTCTTCCTCTGCCCAGCTGCACCCTGGGGTGAGCGTGGGCCAGGCCACCATAGTGGAGATCTTCCTGACGCTCCAGTTCGTGCTCTGCATCTTTGCCACGTACGACGAGAGGCGGAATGGCCGCCTGGGCTCCGTGGCCCTGGCTGTGGGCTTCTCCCTCACCCTGGGGCACCTCTTTGGGGTAAGCAGGAGAAGGGATTGCAACTTCTTGTTTTAAAATTGCAGGGCCCCCAAACCTTTGCCAACTTCTGAGCATTCTTCCCGCTCACTTCACTGTCAGACATGAACGTGATCCCCCTCCGTCTGTATCAGCACAGAGGAATGGATCCTGCTGTGTTCCCCTCTCTAGCGACAGCTGTAGTAGTCCTTCCTGACCCCACTGTAGAAAGGCGTGCCTCCTGGGAAGGCACGGGCTTTGCCAGGGAACCCACAGCCTGTCCTCCAATGGGCGTTAGTGAGCCCACTGTGGGACTTCCATGCACGTTGTCATCCCTCCTCGCTGCTGGCTACAGGCAAGGTGCCAGTCCCTGGAGGGCGGTGGGTGGGGGAGAGCTGGGCTGGAGTGGGGGGAAAGTGTCTCAGTGGTCACTTTGTCTTCGCAGATGTATTATACTGGTGCAGGCATGAACCCTGCCCGCTCCTTTGCTCCTGCCATTCTTACCAGAAACTTCACCAACCACTGGGTGAGTGACAGGAGGAGGGCCAGATCCTGAAGCCCTCCTGGATGGGTGTGGCCTGCAAGTTCTAGGTTTGGTTCCCGCTTCCTATCTGGGTGTGCTGACTATTCTACCAGCCCTCAGCTAAGGGGGCTGGCACAGAGGTTGCCTGCCTGTGTGAGCAGGGTTCATTGTTTTGCTAGAAAGATGAACTCTTGCTCATGTTGTTCCTTCACTAGTTAGTCAGGGCTTCTTTTTCTTTTACTAAATATTCGCTGGATTCCAAAGCTAGGAGCTATGAGGACAGACTACTGAAGAGGAAGACAAAAGCTTCTACCCTCAAGAGGCTGGGATATGTATAAGCACAAATGGGCCTTGGCCTCGTCCCTGTTGTAACACGTCACTAGCCTCGTGTGTGACCATGACAGATAACTCAATCCTTCTGCACCTTGGTTTCCTTAACTACAAAACAGATGTTATGAGAAATAAATGTGAAAATCATATGTATGGAATATTTAGCACATAATATGATACAGAGTAAGTCCTCAATAAAAAATGGCTATTCTTGTATTGTCTGGCCCTATGCCAGTCAAGCATATGTAAATAATTCAAAAAATTTTTCAAAGCTGTACACTCATTTTCATGGTAGCATTATTCACAATAGCCAAAAGGTGGAAGCAATCCAAGTGCCCCACACAGATGAAAAGAAAAACAAAATGTAGTATATACATACAATGAAGCAGTATTCAGTCTTAAAAAAGAAGGAAATTCTATACATGGTAAATAAAACATGGAGGAACCTTCAGGACATTATGCTCAGTGAAACAAGCCAATCAGAAAAAGACTCATATCATATAATTCTACCTATATGAGGTATTTAGAATGCTCACGTTCATTGAAACAAGCAAAACGGCAGGTAACAGGGGCTAGGGAGTGGGGGATATGGGAAGTTGTTTCATAGGTGTTGTGTTTCAATTTTGTAAGATAAAAAATTTCTGGAGATGGCCTATACAACAACATGAATATACTGAACACTACTGAACTCTACAATTAGAAATGGTTAAGATGGTAAATTTTATGTTATGTGTAATTGACCACAATTTAAAAGAAATTTCCAAAGCAATATGGAGGGACTCCCCTAGTGGCCCACTGGCTAAGACTCTGAACCCCCAGTGCAGGGGGCCAGGTTTGACCCGTCAGGGAACTAGATCCTCCACCCTGCAACAAAGACCTTGGGCGGCCAAATAAATAACTGTTAAAAGACAAACAAAAAGCAATATGGAAACTAGTATGAATTGATAGCAAAAAAATAGAATATACACGTGTTAAGAAGGTATAGGATAAAGGAATAACTTAGTAAGTCAGAAAAGAAATGAATTCTGAAGTGCGGGCCATGGAGCAGTCTAGGAGTTAGGGTTAGAACACCGACTTCTGCTTAAACAGCGCCCAAGTGTGTGTGTCAAGTGCAGGATGTCTGTCTTACAACAGTGGGATTGCAAAAAGAGCAGCCTTGCTCTTCGTCCCCTGCCTAAACCTGATTCTTTCTTTCCTCTTCCTCCAGGTGTACTGGGTGGGCCCCGTCATTGGAGCAGGCCTGGGCAGTCTCCTTTATGACTTTCTCCTCTTCCCCCGGCTCAAGAGTGTTTCTGAGAGACTGTCTATTCTCAAGGGTACCAGGCCCAGCGAGTCCAATGGACAACCAGAGGTCACAGGGGAACCTGTTGAACTGAAGACCCAGGCCCTGTAAAAGCTCCAGCTGGAGAGAGTGAGCAGGAAGCTTCTGGGTTTACATGGAGGGGCTGAGCCAGCCCCCGGATGAAGAAAGAGACTGTGGGGAGGGGCATGTACTTCTTTATTTTTAAATTTATGTGTGTGTTTTTTTTGCCTTTTGCCGTGTGAAATCTTTCAAGTTGCATTCATGAGCTGTTTGGTGCACACTTCCCTTCCTCCCCAGCCCTCTCTTCGCCGCTGCGTGTGCATGATTGTGCGTACGACTGTGAGTGAATGTGCCTGTGTCTTGAGTTTGGGGGCTTGGCATGAGAGGTAGAGAACGGAAAAGAGCTGTCACCCTCTGTCTTCCTCTCCCAACCCACCGCGGTGAGCACAGGGAATGAAGACCTTCAGCTTCTGGCCTGTACCCCGCTGCCAGTCAAGTGTTCAGCTCCAGGTTTCTGAGGGAGCAGGGAAGCATTCTGTTACTCCTCAGAGGAGGCAGATGGAGGGAAGTGGAGGTGACAAGGCATTCCAAGAGCTGGAAGAAGCAGCTGGGCCTGGTGTAGGTATCAGCCCCAGATTAGGAGGCGGTTGTACCAAGAATTTTGAAGAAGTTAACAGGAGAGTGTAGCCTTCTTATCTCAGGGATGCTTGCCCCACAGACTTGGGTGGCAAAATAGCTCTGAGAAAAGTAAATACTGGGGTTGGGACTGTTCTGTAATTCCACATCACCCTCTCTACATCCACTGGCTGGGTTTGAGGTTATTCTGGCATGATGGATCTCTTTGGAGGCCCTGGGTGACTGAGCTCCCAACCCAAGCAATGGATGAGCCTAGAACCTAGAAAAATTAAGCAGCTTAACTGTTCTGCCTGACAAACCCCAGTGTGACCTCCAAACAGAAGGTGTTTAAGCCCAGAAATGCTCCCTAAGGCCAAAACAGGAAATCTGATGCCTAGAGCAAATGCAGAGGTAGGGGTGGGGGCATAGAAGAAAGAGGATTTGACACTCAGAATTTTAATTTAGAGCAGCCCAAAATAATCTTCAAATGGCATCTTTCTGCCTTTATCACTAGTTCTATAGTCTTTATTTTCCATTTTTTTGTGTCTTTTCACTTTCTGCTCATCTGTCTTTTCATCTTTATCAAATTTCTTCTAACGCCTCCTGTCCCAGAAATTGATTCCTTCTATTGAAATCTTAATAATTAACGAGATATTATTTGTTTGATCCCTATCTTCCTTCGTTGTTGGGAAAATACACTCATCTCAACAGGAGCCAGAGGAACCCCTGGCTTGACGATGAATACTTACGTTGACCTTTTCCTTTTAGGAGCCAACTGCACACCTCGCAGGCTTTAAACCTATACCTAGAGTAAGACAGGCACCCTGGCCCCACATGAGACCACTACTGCGCATGGCTGCACGCTCCATTTCCTCACGAATAAAGCCAAACTTTTCTAACTAACCTTGTTAAGACTTTGGAATAATCCACTTGACTAGGAGAAGGGGAAGAACGTAAATTCACCTCTATTGTAAATTCACCTCTATTCGGACTTAGATCCCAATGATCATAAGTCAGCAGGAAATCCATCGCGCCAAGAGCTCGGGCTCAATCTAAGGGATCGACTCAGATAAAACAATACTGGTACTCGCTTCCCTGGTCTTTCGCTTCAGCACCAACTGCCCCGGCCGCTGAGGGCCACGTGGACCGGCCCGGCTCGCCCCGCCCCGCTCCGCACGTAGGCAGGGTCTGCTCCGACGCTCACGGGTGGCGGGAGAAGCCGCGGAGCTGTGCTGTCGGGCTGCCGGCTCCGCGGGGATCTTGAGGAGCGGCGGGGAGCGGGTGAGTGCTTGTGTGGGCCAGAAGGCTCCAGGTGGATTGCGTCCCTTCGTGGCCACGGGGGCTCCCCGGGGAAGCGCGGAGCCCCCTTTCCCGCCGCCGGGTTTAAAGGCAGGGGGCGGGCCGCGCGCTTCGGCTGCGCACGCGCAGTTCCCAGTCGGGGCTCCGTGGGTGTCCGGGCGCTTCCAGCTCTCCTGGGACGAGGCGAGGTTCCCCCGAGGTCACTCCGCACAGCCTGGGGCGCCCGCGGGGGTGCGGCTGTGCTGGAAACGGGCTTGGAACCTTTACTGTAAGACAGAAGCTCCCAGGAATTTCCGCTTCTGAACTTCCCATCCAATTCAGACCCAAAAAAAACAGTGCAGTTTGGTGGTCAGCAGGAGCCGGGATCCAGTGGCCACTTGACTTACATCTTGAGATTTTATAAAATGGGTTTCTCCTTTCCTTCTGACCTTTCCCTTGGTAGAAGACTTATGGAGGTTGCAGTCTCTGCTTGGCTTTGTTAGCTGGACCATCAGCCGTTAATTAACTCTCAATTCTTGGCCCTTCCTGCTGCCGCTCATAATTACCTTTATAAAAAGTGAATCTGGTCATTTCAGATTACATGTAAGACTCCTCTTTGGCTGCCCACGGTCAAGCTTAGATCCTTAGGTGGGTGTCCGGGCCTTTGGCAGTCTGACTCTGACTCAGCTTGTTTTCTAAAGGTTCTGGTCATTTTGTTTTCATCTCGTGCAGTTGAATCCCAGCCCTGTGGAAAAGGTGTTTGTATGGCGTCTGTCATGCTTTGAGACTTGTGCTCCAGCTGTTCCCTGAACTTGAAGTCCTTACCACTTCTCTGCCAAGTGAGCTTCTCTTTCAGGAACGAACTCAACTGTCCCTTTGAAAACCTCTCTTTTCAGCCCTCCTAGGCCGAAGTAGTCACTTTTTCCTTTGTGTCCCTGGAGTATTTTACCTCCTTCTATATATGACGGGCTTCCCCGGTTACTCAGGGGTAAAGAATCCGTCTGCCAGTGCAGGAGACGCGGGTTCCATCCCTGGGTCCGGAAGATCCCCTGGAGAAGGAAGTGGCAACCCACTGCAGTGTTCTTGCCTGGGAAGCCCAGTGGACAGAGGAGCCTAGCGGGCTGCAGTCCATAGGGTCCAAAAGAGGCAGACACAACTTCAGGACTAAACAGCTTCTGTGGCACTCGTGCAGTTGAGCAAGCGTTACTCAGCTCCTGCTGTGCACGGTGTCCGGACCCGGAGGATGGGGTGAATAGAACAGAGCTCCTGCGCTCGAGGGGCTGGAAGGAAGAACAGCCGTGGGCCTTCTGCAGCTACAGGGTGCCAGAGAATCCACCCTGGCTTCCTTCCTCGCTCGCTTGGAATTGTCTTGGGTAAACTCTCCTTTCACAGCTTGACAGACCACGCAACCACCCGATGCCCCCAAATCTCCAGCCCCAGCCTCTCCTCCCTCAGCTTCAAAACTTGTCTACTTCAGCTTAGAAAGGATGTATTGGCACTTACGTTGTGCTGGTCACAAAGATTTCTAGTCTCAGAAGAGTTTATATCTTAGTGCGGGCAACAGGAGCTTGACTTAGAGTCACCCAAAGACTGTTTTCAGAACACTCTTGTCCAAGCCCCCGTCCCGGGAGATTCTGACTCACTCACTAGACGCTGAAATTCAAAGGTGAATATGAAACAGTTCCTGCCTTCAGGGAATCTAAGGCTGATTCAGGGAGATAGATGTTTTAAACGGTCTGTTTAGGTAGTATGTACAACATGAACTACAGATGCCATGATGAAAGTCTGTTTATGGCACAAAATAAACACAAAAGAGAGATGCTTTCTATGTGGAGGAACCAGGAGGGCAGACTTCTGAAAGGCGAGTGGGTAGGCTCTAGGTGGGTGAGAGAAGGGTGTTCCTGACAGAGGAGTGCCTTGGGAGAGATGCTTAGAAGGTTAACTAGCAGAAAGATCAGGAAGGACTTTGTATTGTAGGCATTAGCGCATGCTAAAGGTAAACAAGTCAAATAGTACTGAAGAGAAAGATAACTATTTCTCCTGACCTAGGTCCCCCAGTTCTCCCCAGAGACAGTTACTATGAGTTTCTTATGTAGTCATTGAAAGGTTTTAAGCAGTGTGGTTAAGTGGCCAGCCCTGGTAACCGTATTATGGATAGATTTAAGAGAACTGGACACAGGGAAAGAGGCTAGGTAGCAGTTGAGTAATCTAAGCAAGAGATATTCAGGACCTGAGGCGAGGCAGTAGCAATGCGGACGGACAAGGGCCAGATAGAAGAGCGTAAGGAAGTAAAGTCAGCTTGAGTGACTGACTCAAGGTACTTAGAATGACTTCTAGGTTTCCTATGTGAATAGCTGAGTAGATTGTGTCAATTCCTGAGAAATCCAACAGAAAAGTAAAGACAACCAAGGAAAAGATGTAGCATTTGGACATAGTAAGTGTGAGGATTTGAGAAGATGGAGATGGCTATTCATGTGTGGGACTGGCACCAGCGAGCTCAGAGTGGCAGGAGATCCCGGATGTGCTGGCTGATGGCCCAGAAATGGTAGTTGAAGATGTGGGAGTGGATTGGTTTGCCCAAGGAGCTGTGTAGAGAGACAGGAAGAGGACTAAAGGTGTAGGCTTAGGAGGCTCCTGTGGCCTCGTCGTTAGGATTCCAGGCTTTCGTTGCCGTGTCCAGGGTTCAGCCGTGGCTGAGATCCCGCAAGCCTTGCAGCCGTACACACGTTAAAAAGGTGCAGGCCCAAGGAGCGTCCCACTTGGGGAGAGGAGGAACAGCCAGTATGGGTTTGAGGAAAGTTTTGGTTGTTTGGTTTTCGCTTTATTGGATTTTCCCTCCTCCTAAGGTGAAGAGCTTTGAGCAACTTATACGGGAAAGGAGCCAGTGTAAAGAGAATGTTGGAGACAAATGAGGAAGAACCGATGAGGGATAAGAAGTGACTGATCAGGGACTTCCCTCGCGGTCCAGTGGTTAAGACTGAGCTTCCAACTGAGCTGTTACAGATGGAGAGCTTAGATTCGAAGCAAAAAGGTCACTGTGGGCATTTGAAATATGTGTGTTTTTCAGTTTGGGTGGAGAGCTTTGAGAGAGGTCATTTCTGGTTTCCGTTGTTCTGAGAGGAAAGGACCAGAGACACACCAGCTGAGAGGTGTGGGAAGCAGTGGGGTAAAAGGACTTAAGGGTAATTCGCGAAAGTTAGAAACAGCTGTTCCTTCAGAAGAAGAGGGAGAGGACCAGGCATACTAAGAATGCTGGGCCAGGCTGAAGGCCTGTTCAGACTGAAGACCACGTCTGTTGTGTATCATTGTGCAG